ACAAGGGCCTTACATTTCCTACCAGTAATTGAGCAATTGCAGCTCATTCATGGATGATAATTTCAGAAATACAGAACCCTATCCATCCCTATTCTCCATCGCTTTCTTGGTTTCTTTCAGTACCATCAGCCAAAGCTGGCCTCACCTTACCCAGCCTGCATTCTCTTGTAGAGAAAACCCAGTGGATCATTTCATATCAAAAGAAAAAAGAAGGGGCTAGGGTTGTGGCTCAGTGGTAGAGCACACACCTAGCACATGCAGGGCGCTGGGTTCAATCCTGGGCACCACATAAAATAAAGAAATAAATAAAGGCATTATGTCCAACTACAAATAAAAAGATAGATAGATAGATAGATAGATAGATAGATAGATAGATAGATAAAAGAAAAAAGAGGTAATTCTGTTCGGTCCTCCCACTTAGAGTCATAGCTAGAAATGAAAAATGAGATGGGTGAGGTATTCACTTTGGGTACAAAATTTAAGGGGTGACCAAAAATCCTCCATAATCAAGATAATCATTCTATACATGATGAGCTAAAAATCTCCAAACTGTTTGGGGTGATAACAGTTTCAATTTGAAATATTTGTATCAAATCTTTTTGGTATCAGGGATTGAACCCAGGGGCATTATTGTAATGCAATGTTTCAAAAAAAAATCAATGTTAGACAATCCATTATTAATGAAAAACCAAAATGTTAAGACAGAATTGATATTTTTGATTTTTCTCCTTTTGCCTCAGGTACCATTAAATCTTGGTAGGGCACTGTACTTAACCTAAATCTACTCAATCAGAATTTCTGAGAGGGAAGCCCAGGAATTGGTTGTTTTTTGTTTTTTGTTTTTTCATCTTTTAATATCAACATGTAAATTTTATTTTGTTTCTAAACTGGGAAGCCCAGGAATTGGTATATTTACTTTCATCTTTTAAGATCAACATGTAAATTTTATTTTGCTTCTAGCAAATGTTAACTGGCATATTTAAAAATTTTTATAAAGTGAATAATTACATTTTATTACAATAAATGTTGGATTAATAAACTATCTTCCTAATCAATAAAATAGATTTCAATACTCAAATTAAATTTCTATACATGATGAGTTAAAAATCTCTAAACTG